TATACGGCTTACAAAATATAACTGACGAACTTATTAATAACGTTGAAACATATTTAAAAAGTGATGTAATCTTTGGAATATCTCAAAATCCAGATACAAAAGTTTATCTTTTAGTTTTCAATGTTAAATATTTTAACTGTTATTGCGAAAAATGTGGCAATGAATACGATAGTAGAGAATATAAATGGTGTAAACAATGTCAAACAAACCAATTAAAAAATGATTTTACAAATTGGACCAGTAGAAATTTGAAACTTGATTATTTTATTCAAAAAATGCAATTAAAAATAAATAATTATGATGATACTATATTTGAATGGATACCATACAACGAATTTATCATTATTAAAGAATTAGAAAATTATACTTTAACTATTTGGAAGAAGGGTCCATTATATTATAATACTAATGATGAAAAATTAGTAAGAAAATCATATGAAAGAGTTTATTTAAAATTTTTATATGTAAATTCACAAGAAATTACTGACGAATTTTCAAAAAATGAGGTATTAATATTTTCTATATATTTAAATCCAAATATCAAATTTAATATTAATATTAATTTTTTCATATTTTAATATTTTAATAGATTGAATCATACTTAAAAAATGATGTAATCTTTGGAATATCTCAAAATCCGGATACAAAAGTTTATATTTTAGTTTTTAATAATAAATGTTTTGATCATTATTGTGAAAAATGTGATAATGAATACGATGATAAAAAGTATAAGTGGTGTAAACAATGTCAGATAAATCAATTAAAATATAATTTTACAAATTGGACTAGTGGAAATATAAAATTTTATGATTTTATTACAAAAATGCAATTAAAAATTAATAGTCGTCACGATAAGATATTTGAATGGATACCATACAATGAGTTTATCATTATTAAAGAGTCGGAAAAATATACTTTGGCAATATGGGAGAAGGATAATACTAATGATAAAAAATTCGTAAGAAAATCACGTGAAAGAGTTCATTTAAAGTATCTATACAATTCACAAGAAATTACTACCGAATTTTCTAATGAGGTATTTGATATTTTTCTTTATATTTAAATCAAATATCAAAATTTAATATTAATTTTTTCCATATATTGATAGGTTGAATCATATTTAAAAAATGATGTTATCTTTGGAATATCTCAAAATCCAGATACGGAAGTTTATCTTTTAGTTTTCAATGATGAATATTTTAAATATTATTGTGAAAAATGTGATAGTGAATATGATAGAAAGTATATATTGTGTAAACAATGTCAAATAAATTATTTAAAAAATAATTTTGAAGACTGGACTAGTGGAAATGAGAAAGTTGATGACTTCATCCAAAAGATGCAATTAAAAATTAATGGTCGTCGTGGTGAGATATTTGAATGGATATCATACAATGAGTTTATTGAAATTAGAGAATTAGGAAATAATGTCTTAGCCACAGCAATATGGAAGGATGGTCCATTATATTATAGCAGTGTAAGAAGGAGTTATGATCGGGAAATAAATAAAAATGTCATTTTAAAATACCTATGTAATTCACAAAATGTCAGTCAATTATTTTCAAATGAGGTATGAAACTTTTCTAATAATAATTTAACTTATTTTTTAATACTGTAATTAATAATTTAATTATTTTTATATTTAACAGGTTATATATTCAGTTGAGAAAAATTATGGAGTAACTCAAAATCCAATTACAAAAGATTATATGTTAGTTTGTAAAATTGAATCATGTCAGACAAATCATGAAAATAAAAAAATTAATAATTTAATTCAAAAAATTAAATTAAATATTAATCATAATTCTAGTAGATCTGACATAATGTTTGAATGGATACCATATGACCAGTTTAATGATATTAAAGAGATAGGTAAAGGTGGTTTCTCTACAGTATATTCAGCAATTCGGAAAGATGGTTTATTATATTATAAAGCTGGATGTGAAAGAAAATCAAATACAAATGTTGCTTTAAAATGTCTAAGTAATTTTGATGAGTTTATAAATGAGGTATGAAATTTCTTTAATTTAAATATATTTAGCAAAAATAATAATTATTTACTCATATACTAATATTATTTATTAGGCTAAAGCATATCCACATCAAAATATTCTTAAAATATATGGAATATCTCAAAATCCAACTACAAAAAATTATATTATGGTTCTTGAATATGCAGAAGGTGGAGATTTCAATATTTATTTAAATAAAAAGTATGAAGTTTTTAATTGGTTTAATGGATTAAGAGTGATAGCTAATACTATTAAAGGTCTTAATACAATTCATCAGTTTATCATGATGATTTTCATACCAGGAATATATTATTTACAAAATGTAAACCATCTTTCCTTAATAATTATGCTGATTATATTATATGTATTATGGGATTATGTAAAAAAATTGATGATATTAATGAAACAAATATTTTTGGAGTTATGTCGTACATAGCTCCTGAAGTATTAAAAGGAAAACCTTATACTCAAGCAGCAGATATATATAGCTTTGGTATAATTATATATGTTATAGCAACTGGAAAGCAACCTTTTATTAATTGTACTCTTGAGCATTAAATATATGCAAATGGAATCAAACCTGAAATAAATCACCGAAATGTTATATTGACTTAATAAAAAGATGTTGGGAATTCAAATACAGATAATAGACCAAATTCAACTGAATTAAAAAAATTTATTGACTTATTTTACATTTCATTAAATCAAAAATTTGATAAATCATAAAATTGAAAAACAATTTAATGAAACACAAGAATATAGAAAAGAAAATTTTTTATTAATAAACAATGATCAATTAACTACTCATACACAAGCTATTTATACATTTCGATTACTTCATATTTTGGAAGATTTTTTGTAAAAGAATTAAGATAATTTTAATAGCAATACAGTAGAATATACTCATTTTACGAAGTAATTTGCTTTTTTTTTATTCTCCTTTTACCTATCTTTTATTATACTTTATAACTTAATAAGTTATACCCATTTTTTGTAAAAAAAAAATGATGGTTTAAATTTTAAGTAAAAGAATGTATTGGACTTCAAATAAATGATATAAATATGAATAGCAGACAATTTTATACTTGTATTTTTTTGTTTAACACTGATTATAGAGTAATATGTAAAAACTTTTTTACATGATAAAAATCAGTTTGTAATTTAACAAAATTTTATTTTTAAAAAATTTATTATACTATTTTTTTTTTTTCATTAAATTATTTTATTTATCATTAAATAGCAATTTTATATATTTATTAGTTTTTGTTTAACACTGATTATAGAGTATATGTATATAACTTTTTTACATAATAAAATCGGTTTGTAATTAAACAAAATTTTATGAATAATTAATAAACAAATGACCATAAAATCAAATAAATATATTAGTATGAAAGTAAGTAGTAAGTATACCGATCAACAGATTTTAGTTATTTTCAGCAACTTTTGTAATCTTGTATATTTAAACTTGCAAATTTACAAAATTCAAATATTATAAACTTCATTATAACCCTTTATATTAACTTTCTCTGTGATATATAAATTTTAATTTCAGCCAGCACAGATATTCCAATTATATAGTGTTTGATTAAATTTGATAAAATATGTTTATTATTCTTAATTCCAATAATACATTATTCTACAGCCAAATAGGATCATGCTTTTTTCATCATGCTGATAATTTTTTATTAAGCTATAAATAAACTACCATTGCATAATTATTATTGATATTTTTGACGTTGTTTAATCAATAGTTTATTGTATTTATAAGATGATCATTGGCGGCTGCAGAATAACACAGTTATTTGATAGGGGTGCTAAAATATCATTCGAACTGCTTCGCAGTTCGGTGATATTCTAACCCTCTTATCAATAACTATTATATATCTGATATGAATTATTTGCAGAAACTGATGGAGAAATCTAATGATAATACGAAAATCATCTAGCAAATATCCGTGATCAGTCTTATTCATAAAATTGTATTAAGTACTAATATCTATTGCTGTTATAATGAATTATTAAGTTTTATTTGAAAATAAGTATAATAAAATTTTTTTTCGTTATGTTTTATATTTTAATTAATTTGCAATATGGGCCGGTGCAAAAAGATTGGTACCTCAAACATTGCATCAATAAAAAAAAATTTTATTATATAAATATTTTTTTTTATTTATTTAATATTATCAGTATGTATTGGGAAAAATACAATATAAATATTATGTCATGTCATGTGATACTCATCAGAACTACTATGAGCGTCAAATTCTTCATCAATTAATTGTATATTTTTATCAGATTCAAAATATTTCTTAACATTTTTAAAAGCTCTTTCCCAAAGTCCTACAATAAACTTTGAAGAAAATTTTTTTTTAAATACATTTAAAAGTGAATTTCTAATAAATAAAAGGTTTGAGTGTAGACTTGAGCATGCAACTTTACCCTTTACAACTGATTAAACACCTTTAATAGGTTGGAGTTCACAATTATGGTATGGAGGGGTAAATTTAACTTTATATTCATTCATATTGTTCTGCAATGTTAACACAAGAAAATGGAACCTTTTCTTTGTTTATTTGAACCAGCTTCAAAAGTTCTGATTTTCTTAATTCATCAGAAAGAGCAATATCATGAGAATTTGACCATTCAATTGTAATTTAGGATATTTAAGCATTTTGTGTGGTGTAAAAGTATCATCTATATGGCTTTTCCAGTTTGAAACCACCCTCCCAACTGTACTTTCCCCCATGCCCAAAAACCTCAGCAACACGCTTGCGTAATGTGACCTGATGATGATCCTCCTTTTTAAAGTTAGCCCCCAAAAAATAATTGTAAACATTAATTATCATCAACTTTTCGTTATCAGTTAGTGATGCATTGCTTCATTTTGTAGAGAAACTATCCATAGTAGGGTAAAAAAATATAAGTAAAAATGTTTATTCGAAGTCATTGTAATATATATATTTTTTTCAGCCCATTTTGTTTTAGTCATACGGTATTTTTCTTGGTGTAAAATCCTTTCCTTTTCGGGTGAGGTACCAATCTTTTTACACCGGCCCATATCACTAATAATAGACAAAAAACATATTAAAATATACAAATTACCCATTTATTTGTTCATAATACTAATAAAGAAATTATCAAATCGATTTAACAATAAAAACCATGAATAAATAATGATATTTTTATTTTCAAAGAAAGCAATAATAAAATAAAAGTACATATTCCGATTTCCAATGTAAGATATAAACTTATAAGAAAAATTCAAGAACTATTTTCATCATCAATTATCTCTGTGTTAAATAAATTAAAAATTAATCTTACAATACATAAAATTATAACAATGTATGATAAATTAATACCTCTTGATTGAAATGAGCTAGAAACCTCTAAATCAAGTAATTGTGAATCCTGGCAATCTGTTAAAGAATTACATTAATAACTATTTGTATAATCAATTATTGATTATGTAAGTTGTGGAAATGGTACCTTTATTATCTTCCTCATTTAAATATGAAGTAATGATGGATGAATTAATGGGTTTAGACAAATTGTTAAATGTGAATAATCTACTAGTATAAATGGCATCAGGATTCTTTTCATATGTAGTTGAAATATTTGGTATCTCTTTATCAGCTTCTTCAAATATGGTTTTAATTTCTTTTCCTTTAAAATCATATTTTTCTTTCCAATAGGATCCATAATCTTCACAATCACAAACCCAACGCCAAACATTCAATATATCACGTAATTCATCTGCTGTTGGTCTTTGATTTGGAATAGCATTCATACATCTATAAGCTAATTTTTTATAAATTTCAGGAGTTCCTTTTCCAAATTCTGGTCTGAGACCATTACATATTTCTAATGCTAAGATAGCATCATGTTTTCTTTTATGAAAGGGTGGCTTTCCAGATGATAGTTCAGCCATAATTATACCAAAACTATAAATATCAGATGATGATGTATATGGCTCTTTATTTAATACTTCTGGGGCAACATATGGCAACACACCACATATTTTACCATCTGATTTTTGTTTATTCAATGGTCCTGATAATCCAAAATCTGAAATACAAGAAACATTGGACCTATATCCATTAAGATAAATTTGTAATACATTACCACTATGTAAATCCTTATGACAATATCCTAATTTGTGAAAACCATTTAGCTCAAATGATAATTTATCCAAAAACATAAGTTTTTCTTTCCATAAAATATTGTTAAAGTCTTTTGAAAGTACACTTCTTAAATTCCCCCTTTCTGAAAATTCAATAATCATCATAAATTCTTTAGTTACCGGATCTTTTGTCATTCCATAAAATTTTAAAAATGATTCATTATTTTTCTTAAAATAATCCCAATGTATTTGAAGCTATAATTTAAATTAAAAATAGTTTAAACATATATTAATTATAAAATTACGTACTACTGTAAATTTGAATATAAAATATACCTCATTTAAATCTTCAACTGATATATTCTGTGAATCATTTAACTTTTTCAAGGCAACTTTCATTGGGCTGGATTCTTTTTTTTTCCAAATTCTATCATCTTGTCTTTCATATTTCGTTTCACAATCAACCCATGTTGCAGAATATACTTTAGCAAATCCACCTTCCCCAATTTGTTTTATATCTTCAAATCTATTAAACGGTACCCATTCAAGAAATAACGGATATTTTTTACCACTATCAAAAAATGAATATTTTGCATTATAAATCGTATCTTTGATAAATTCATCAATATCGTGATTTTCACTGGTCCATCCTTCAATTATGCAACGAGGAACACATTTTTTACACCATGGTTTGTCATCACTTGGGTTATAACAATTTTTATGGTCAATATTTAATTTATTAAATTTGGATACTAATTGTTTTATTTTTCTATTAATGTAACTCATTTTTATGATTAAAAATTTCGATAGAAAATAAATTCGTAAAAAACTTGAGCACTGATTTAAATACTTTTATTAATAAGATAAAAAAGGAGGTGTTTGTATTACAGAAATTCATTTATTAATAGTAATTAGATTGGCGTAAAAATTTTAAGTTGTACAATCGTACAATGTACAATGATGTATTTATTTATAAGTATAAATACCATAAAAGAACCTTGCATTAATTTATTCATTTCAATCATACTCATAATTTTTAACCCTTGCTGAAATAATAATTTTTGTCTAATTTTAAACCTTCATACTGGACACATTAGTTTTTAACAAATAACAGATAAATCTTAAACCATTTATAATAAAGTGTTAATCATCAATAGTATTTTATCGTAGAGTAAAAATAGACAATAGCCTTTTCCTATTCGGTAATCGGTCGTACTCCCTGAAATATAGTGTTACAATTTTTTCTTTATTTTTAAAATAAAGTGCCCCCATAGAACTCCTGGTTAACGATCATCAAAACATTTGCGAAGTATACTCTTTTTTGGTTGTGATCTACACGAAAAGTTTTCCCCGCGAATTTTTAAAAAAAAGATTATAGATTTTGAATAAGAATCCTGAATCTAAGAGTATAACGACCACCCTCCCTCCTTATGAATTGATGGCCTATATATGTATGTTCTTCATTTTTTTTCATTCAAAAAAAATAATAAAAATAACATTATTACGCAATATTTACTTACACATAAAATAAAAACCAGTTATTATATAATATAAAATTTATCAATTTATATAAAAATAAAAAAAGATGTGTTACCGCTGATCATATTGCATAACTATGGTAATTTTTTCATAAAAATTTTTACGTGTTAAAAATATATTTCGCAAAATTTATTTTTTCATAAAAATTTTACACATTACTCAATCAGTATATTTTGCAATACACAATATAAAATTTATTTCTTTATAAAATTCTTTATAAAAAATTTTCTTTATAATAAAAAGTTTTAAATCAAAAGAAAGAAAACTGATCTTTATTTGTTTCCTATCTCTTTTTTTTTACTCATTTACTCAATCAAATTTCATAATTTACACCCAGAGGTCGACGAAGGAATATAGCATAAAAGAAATAACTGGAAATCTGGAATATCCAGACTGAGCGATGAAGGCCAAACCAAAATCATATATCTAAAAATCAAAGCATTTATTCCATTGGATAAAAAAATTGAAACACAAATCGAAGAATTCGAAAATGGTCAGGTAATTTACTTGGGAGGTAAATTTATTGCCTGCAATGGATGATACACAGTACGTTATTGATTTTTTGGTTCAAAAAACAAAAAAATAATGAAATAAAATAAAATTTAGTATCAAATTATTAAATTTGAAATTGAATTAATAGGTGAGCGCTACATCCATGGCAAATCTTGATTTTGATATGATGCCAAAACTTATTTTCCCTTATTAATAAGATATACTTTCCATAATTCCATTATCTTCAAAGGGAACAGGATTTTTTCTTTTTTTTTGTTTTATACTTATTCTTATTTCACAAAATAATGTATTTACATAATTTCTTTATTTTCATTACAATAAATTCCAATTAAAGCAAAAAATACTATGATTTATATTTTTAAGTATATCAAAAGATCGTATCTCACCAAAAAAATTATTTATATTAAAAAAAGCTCAGAAACTTTTACAAATAAAATTTTTTATATATATTTATTTTTATTTAGTTATTTATTTTTAGTTATGCTACATAGAGATATTTTTAGTTATTTAATGATTAGATAAAAACGGAAGCTTAGCAGAGGAAAAGTGGCTGAATTAAAGGTGGCTTAATAGACAAATACGACCAATCACTACATTTAGCCGGGAGGCAAGATTGGCCGGGTGGCAAATCTGTTCGAGAGTGAAGAGTCAGATTCGCACCAGATTTTTAACGATATAAAAAGGACCTGCAGTTTGAGTAGTTTTTTGAGTAAGTTTTATTTTCAACAGATAGATATACAGATATTACAGAGTGCCGTATAGAGGCAGTAATATCGTATTTTGTTCAAGTGTTAATAAACCTGCCTGTTTGTTTCCAATTTATTACAACTCGTTTATTTCTTTAGAGTGTTCATTATCTTATGTTGACCTTTAATTACATATCATTTTGTTATTCATACACAGTTTAATTCTGCTTATAAACCAATTGATATATACACATTATCATTACTTTATTATTCATTCCCAAAAAATATACCAAACTCATGTTTAACCAACTAAAAATATATTATTATTACATTCATTGATAATTACTGCAATTTGTAAAATTTTTTAGTAAGGCTCAATCCTTTTTTTTTACCTACAGTATTATAAACATTTTTCGAGTTTGACGGTCGATTTCTATCATCTGGCATGACCTGAATAATAGGATTTATAAATTATGACGGGAACGAATTGTTAACTTATATAGCTACGTCATCTCACATATTTTACCTTTTATCATGTGACCGATAGTATCACTCGAATCAAATTGATAACATTTTTATTGATATAGCAAATAATACATTATTGTAGAAATAATAAATTAAATTAAATGTAACATCTGTATAAAAAATACGAAACATATACAAAAAACAAAAGAAAAATTACAAGCATACCTTGTAATTTTAATAGTAGGAATTGGCAAATGGTGATTCGCTAAAATAGTTTCGGGAAAATGGGATGTCACAAGTCAGATAAGCGAAGTTGGTAATTTTATGTCAGTGAAACAGGTGTCGTTAAAATGAGTGAATACGTAATAAACAATTAACAATTAGGGATTTAGGGATTATCATATATATTTTACATTAAAAACATTGTACAAAATTCATTAAATTTGAGTTTAATTATTTAATTGATTTTAGAATGAAATTATAATAATGTTAATGAAAATTAATTCGTTAAAATCAAAAAGTTATGACATTATTTTTTAGATATTTATGGTTTATAGTTTTATAGATTTATTGTATTGTATTTACATTAAAAAAAAAATCCTACATTTCTACTTTATAAAAAATTATAAAATTTTTCCATTTCTGCAATGAACTCTTCAAATAAAAAATCATAAATGGTACAATATTAATCCATAAAAATTAGGAAGATAAAAGATACCATAATCACTTTTTTTTTAAAAGAAAAACACTAATTAATTAAAATAAATTTATTTACTTTTTTGAAAATAGTTTGTGAAGTTAGACGAGGGACGGTGATTTTTTTTTTTGTGATTTACATAAATTGATAAAGTATAGATTTGTTTTTTTGTTGTAAAAAATGTAAAAAGCAAATATTTATTTAATTTTTGTACAATTTTAATTAAAAATATGTGTAATCAAGTAGAATTCTTTAAAAAATCACATGATTTGCGATTTTGGTGACAATTTCTGCAAGAGCAGTTACACGATAATTTAATGACGCAACACTCGCAGCAATAAAAAAAAAAATACGATCACATTATTTTATGATCAACATCTAACTAGTTTTGGAAATCAATTTCCTTTTTCATCCTTATTGATCGGAATAATTATATAAAGTAACTCCCACGCCAACAATTTCAACAATTTCGACATAAAAACTTTGAAATATGAGTAAAAAAAATAAAACCCAAATTCCGGTAGAATCTAAATCCAACAATCATGAAAATTGCTACAACGAAAAAGACTACAAGCCATGGTGTAAAGATTGTGTACCTTGTTGCATAACTAAAGGATGGACCAGCGAAAATCATGAAATTGATGAATTTATTAAGGATACGATATATGATGCGGGATTACGTTATACTGATGATGAAATATATTATCCAAAATTTCTTGAATGGGTACCATATGATAGATTTAAAGATATAAAACAAATTGGTGAAGGTGGATTCGCCAAAGTATATTCTGCAACATGGATTGATGGTCAAGCAAAATATAAAAGACAGGATGATAGAAGTTGGAAAAAATTAGATCCTGAACCTTTAAAAGTTGCTTTAAAAAAGTTGAATGAATCACAGAATATGTCAGATGAATGTTTAAATGAGGTATTTATGTAATAAATTTACAATATATGATAAATAAATATTATTTACTTACTAATTTTAATGTAAATAATAGCTTAAAACACATTGGAAATTAAATAAATTTTTTTCCTATTTATTAACATTTTATGGAATGACTAAAGATCCGGAAACTAAAGAATTTATTATGATTACACAATTTGCAGAAAAAGGAAGTTTAAGAAGTTTTCTTTCAACTCATTTCAATAAAACTTTATGGAAAGATAAATTAAATTTATTGTTTAAATTAATATCAGACCTTGAACATTTACATAATTTAGGGTATTTTCATAAAGATTTTCACAGTGGAAATATATTACAGATTGATGATTGGTCTTATATTTCAGATTTTGGATTGTCTGGTTCTTCAAATGAACCAAAATCAGATAATAAAATATGTGGTGTATTGCCATATATTGCTCCAGAAGTTTTGGATAGAGAACCATATACGGTGTCTTCTGATATTTACAGTTTTGGTGTAATCATGGCTGAATTATCATCTGGGAAGCCACCTTTTCATGAAAGAAAACACAATTATGATTTATCATTAGAAATATGTGGTGGACTCAGACCAAAATTTGGAAAAGGAACTCCTAAAATTTACAAGAAATTAGCTAAAAAATGTATGGATGCAAGACCCGATCAAAGACCAACAGCAAAAGGATTATGGAAAATATTAAACTTTTGGCATGAATGTACTGAATATAATAACTACCAAGATTGTAAAGGAAAAGATATTGAAGAATTTTTTGAAGAATTTGAATTTGGTTTTAAAGGAAAAGATATTAAAAATACGTTAAAAGATATTAAAGATTTGTTTGAAGAATTTGATCATGAAGGAAAAGAGATTAAAGCTATGTTTGATGAAGCTGATAAAGAAATACCCAATATCTCAACTTCGTATGAGAAAAACCCTGATGCTATTTATAGTAGTAGAATATTAACATTTATTAAGCCAAATGATGATGAAAATGATGATAAAGGTATTTAATTTATAATTTTATTATCAATTAATTAATCCTATAAATACTAATTTATTGGTTTAATAATATATTCTCCAGATTCTAAAATACTTAACTTGGACATAAACGCAACTTCATGTGAGAAAAACCCTGATGCTACTTATACTAGTAAAATATCAAAACCTAAACCTATTAGTTCGAATATTATTAAGTCAAATGATGATAAATTTAATAACGAAGGTATTTAATTTATAGTTTTATTTGTTATCAATTAGTTAATCCTATAACTACTAATTTATTGTTTTATAAATAGCTGCTTCTCAAATAACTGACTTGGACATAATCAAAATACCCAATATCTCAAGTTCATATGAGAAAATCCCTGATGCTACTTGTACTAGTAAAATATCAACACTTAGCAATTTACCTAAACCTATTAATTCGAATATTATTGTGTCAAATGATGATGAAAATAATGATGAAGGTATTTAATTTATAGATTTATTATCAATTATTTAATCCTATAACTACTAATTCATTGTTTTAGTAATAGATTCTCTGGATTCTGAAATATTTAACTTGGACATAGCGGATTACAACTTGCCTGAAGGGCTCCCCTGAGGGAACCGCTGGTCCCCCTAACGGCTCCCAGAGGAAGTAGTGGTAATATATTTATTATTTATATTATTACATATATTATCAAATATTAATTTTATGGTTTTAATTACCAAATAAATTGAGAACTCTTTAGGCTTTTTATCTATCCATAACTTTTTTTATATTATTAATGGCTTTTTATTCTATTAAATTAATAACTGTATGTTATTTACGTTTTTATTTTCTAAGTTTATTAAATGATAAACTATTGTAAAATGAAATAAAATTATAATGCTATTGTGTTATTAACAAATAAACATTACTTTAATAATTATTTCAAATATTCAATTTTTTTTAAAAAATAAAATTTGGCTTGAATATTTTACCTTATTACACGCAGTAATAGTAAATTTACTGGACTCAAATATGCGTGATTTTTTGTTTTGATAAAACATAGCAAAATTTTTTACTAGTTTGTGCAGTTTTGTGGTGTATATTAATAAAATATGTAAATTTTGTAAGTTAAAAAAAAATATCGAATAAAAATTTACAAATAATCATCGCTCTTTCTCGAATAAAACTTGTGGTCGCTCGAATAACTCGAGAATTGACTCGGAACCGATCAATGATCGGGTATATCTATTAGATTTTACTATAGTAATTTATGAGATAATAAACTTGTATAAAGAGAAAATACATCTAAAATTATGTTAATAATAATGAATAGTGTGTAAATTCCCAAAAATTATACGTACCTAAAATTTTTTCAAGTATAGAAAAATCTGACGTTTGATTTATGCTAACAATTATTGTAATTTCGCAAATACATTGTCGATCATTTAACCCAAACTTTAAAAAAAACCAGAAAACTATACTTACTTTAGTCTTTTTTTTCCATCGAAAAAAGATTCCACATTTTTTTTGATATAAAATTCAATAAGAGTATCAAGCGTCAATACATTAGTGCACAACAGGGCGGACATACCTTATATCACATGTTGATCATTTTCCGATCATAATATATGTGATATCACACTGATTTTGAAACTTTATTCCAGCCATAAATATTCAAAAAAAAATTATTTTAAATTGTTTTATTTAATAGTTTAATATATTACTAATAATTTAGTATAAAAATTTTGTGGCAAAATAAAATGTGGTTCCAAAATTAACTTAGGCCAAAATTTTCAATAATTCATATATGTGCCGATCATCTGCTAATTTGATGAAACTTTCAGAATACATTATTTAGGTATTCAATAATTAGTGACAAAAATAATCATAAAAAATTTTAAATAATCAAAAAGTTAGCATTAAATAAATACTTGCTATTGTATTATAATAATTTATGTAATAAATGTAAATTTTCAAAACATTATTTCTCAATCGATTTTACATGAACATAGTTAAATAAAAATCATTTTGGTTTTATACATAGTGGAATTTGCAAGAAAATAGCCCAATAATCGTATTTTTTTTATGAGATAATATCGAATAGATAATTGAAATGATTGGCAAAATGATCGACAACAATGTGATAATATAAGGATGTCCGCCCTGTTATGTAAATTTTATGATGAAGAAGATGGGCATATGAAAAGTCTGACATGAAATTTTTGATCTTTGGACTTTGAAGACAGCTGCGAGTGCCGCATGGTGCAAGAAATAAGATGCTCACATGATTGCTGACACATGTAACATCCAAATGGGTGGGTGTGACAAATAGAGATCAGACCACTAAAAAACACTGGTAAAAAAATGATTTATCCTACACATATCTTACACATATTGGGTACTCAAAATGTAGAAAATAATACACAAATAATACACATATCATATACATATCGGGTACTAATATATATATCATACATATATCAGGTACCTGATAGGTATACTATATATATAAGTACCCGATATGTGTATGATATGTGTCTTATACACATCTAGATGTGTATAAGAGACAGGTGTAGGATAGACCATTTTTTTACCAGTGAAAACAAGTCACTGACATAAATGGGTAGTGTGGTAAGATTTTCCACCACACCTACCTTGCAGATTCCAGACTTAGAAAAAGAGTTTTGTCGTAAATACGAGACTTTTCTGGAAGGACAGACAGTATTATTTATAGTTTTTAGTTACTTTCAATATTTTTTTTTTTAGACTTAGAGTTTTTCTTTTTTATCAATATTGGCATACAACTTAGTATGTTCTTATTTAGGTACAGCTCAAGCACCCTAGTCACATCAAGTCTTAAACTCTAATTTTAAATGGCCATAAAATTTAAAAAAAAATATTATTTTAAATACTCGTCATATCTTAATAGATTGGATCAAAGGCTATAAAAGTATGATTTAATTTTTCAAATTGGATTAATATATAAAAAATTATTCTCATTTTATTTTAGTAAAAAATTATATGTATGTAAAAGTTCCCAATTTTACCACCATATTCTTGGGTAAAATTTATTTTTCAACATCAAAATTTTTACTGAAAAATATGCCAAAATTATCAGTGATCAACAAACATAATTATAAATTAAAATAATACATATGCAATCATATACAATTTTACTTTGACTTGCTGAAAAAAAGTATTAAACACATTCAAGTATCTGAAACAAATATTAATGTGAAAAATGATGAGGAAAGTTTATATGGAAAATGTTTGTAATGTAGAAAATTATATAGAAGATGATGTTTTGGATGGTAATCAAGAAGATATACACAGTGAAATTTGATAAACTGGATCTGTCGGTTCCACTAAAAATATCTGGTTTATCGGGATATCCGGTTTAGCGAAAAAATTTTGATATATTGAAAATCTATTATACAGAATTTTTAAAAAATTTTCATGCTAATAAAATTAATATACACTATAATTAAATTTTTCATCTTAGTTTTAAGTCATAGAGGTCATGAAAATGAATATAAAATATTTTAATTAAATATATAAGTAATACAAAACTTCAGCCGGAATTAAGATTTTTATAATTCCGGCCAAAATTAAGATTTACCACATCACGTTACTTAAATTTTATTGGCTAATAATCACGTGATCTGGTTTATCGAATCATTTTTTACTATAGCTGGTTAGAAAATTGATCTGAAATAGCGAATATCGAGCTTTTACTAGTAAACTCCGGTATATCGAACCTATTTTAATATACGTGATTTGGTTCCAGCAAAAAAGTCTGGTTTAGGCCCAAATCCGGTTTATCGAAGATCCGGTTTATCGAATTTCACTGTGTATTTCAAATTTAATGACTCAAATGCAATTAGCCATACATCCCACCAACTCATAAATCAACTTAAATAAAAAAATTCATTATATTTTAATGCTGGCTAAAATTATGGCTAATTTATAATTCGGGCCAAATATCACGTGATTTCACGTGAAATTCGCTTAAGTGCTAATCCGGTTATGATCGACATTGATTATTAATATCGATAATAATAACATTCGGGGATAATCTCATAGTAATAAAGGTCGCGTTTAAAATCTGCTGTTGACTTCTTACTTTCACAAAAATAATGGCAAAACACCTTGAAGTTCCAGTTACATTGTTAACACCAGGCACTATTAATGAAAATTTACACTATGGACCATTAGCCCGTTACTGGTGGAGTTCCCGATCTACAAATGATAGTAACGAACATATTTTTTTTCCTATTCGCTTGGGTCAGAAGACTCGTGTTTTTCGCAATAATCGGGAGTTTATAGTTTCAGTGGTTCTTGGAAATTCAGAACACCCTAGACAGCCTGGATATTTTTGTAGTTCAGGTTCATTTTCTGGGAAAATAGAAACCTCTCCTACTAGAGCTATTAGCTCTTTATATAATGAAATTTTTCATAACTCAACTAAATTTTCGGGACCAACAATAATAGGACAAAACAATCCAAAAATAATAGAAGAAATATCTCGTGGTGTTAGATTTATTCCATTTCAAATTACAATTGATAAATATAAAATTTTTATACATGACTTAGGGGTATCATCTCATCCCGAGTGGCATAATGCTGGTTCAGGCTATTCATCATCTCTCCTTCACTTTTACAATAAGAAACAAGCGTTATTTGTTTCAAGAATTGTTGATAATGAATGTATTATTGAAATCTATCAACAAGCACAAAAAATAAAAATAATTCGTGGCTCTACACCAAGTGAAGTTTGGCGCAAATCATGGTTTATGAAAAAGTATGATGGGAGCGAACTTTATGGTCTCAAAAATCAAAAAACACAAAATTCATTACGCGTGCATCATGTTCCCACATGCACGCCTAGTAATTGGGGTAATCTGTCTCTGATGTCAAAATTATTTGAATATCATCTAAAGAGACGAACTATTTCAAAGATTAATTGGTATACAATTTTTGATATATGGGGAAAACAAGATAGTGATATTTTTGAGCTTTATTCAAATCTGAAAAAAATTTATCCAAAACGTCATAAATTTGGGGATAGGGAATTGCGTGCATGGCGAGCTTTGCTAAAAGCGGCTGGTGCTCATCTGATCACTCCTTTCAATTCTGATGAATCAAAGGTTAGTTTTTTGTATTTGATATATAAAAGAGATAATTCAATCTGCATACTAACTTTATTATAAAAAGTTTCAGTTCTGGACGCGAGCCTCTAATCCTATAAAAGATAGTGATACAATTTCAAATCTTTACAAAATGGGCTTTCTTGTATCAACACCAATTCATATGCCAAATTCGACAAAAAAATTTTGGTATTGTTTTGATCGTGCTATAAAAGAAAATAAAAAAACCCATGATGGTAAGCGTAGGGTTATATCTATAATTGCTGATCAATTCACATACTCCCAACTTGAAAAAAACCTGAAGGTAAGTGTAATATAATAACAACAAAAGCACACTTACAAACAGAAAGGATTTAGCCCAATTTTTATCTATTTAGATTTTATTTTATACATTCATAGAAATACAAACATTTTTGATAGACTTATCCGTTCATAGAAATATAGACTTATACATTCATAGAATATAGACTATATACATTCATAGAATATAGACTTATACATTCATAGAAATATACATACATTCATAGAAATATAGATTTTAGAAATATATATACGTTCATAGAAACAAAAACATTTTGAATAGATTTTATGTATAAATATTAGAAAAAATATATTATTTGATTTATTATTTGATAATAAAATGAGATTAT